GATGTTAAGCCTGTTGGCTTACATCTAGTGGCACACAGCTTTGCAGATGTAGTTACTGGATAGGTACCACAGGTTGGATGCCATTTCCATGGAGATTTTACCTGGGCTGAAATAAGGAACACCCAGGATTGTCCTCACCTAACTGGTGTGCCAGAGTCTTTGGAACCAGCAGCAAAACGAGATGGTGAAGGCTTTGTACTAAAAGTCTACCCAACATCTGAGGCAAGGCCTAAGGTGCTTCTACCCAGACATGATCTGTGAGCACTCAAGGATGGGCATGGGGAGCACTCTCATCTCATCTGCAGGTAGAGAGCTAAAGACATGTGTGCAGAGGAGATGTTCTGATGCAAGTGAGCCCCGGCAATGAGAGTACAGATCCCCAGCATGAGATTCAAGTCACACACTGGATCCTCGCCATGGTTTCTGGGGAAATAGCTGTGATGCAATTGCCATATGCCTGTGTGACTTTACAAATTGCTTTCCCTCTTCATTTCTAATTCTTCATTTATATGGCAAGGTTACTCATGTGATTAATTTTCTTTCATATTTTTCTTTGACTTTTGTGATCATAATATAGTTACATCATTTCTCCCTTCTCTTTCTTCACTCCAACCCCCCCCATATACCCATCCTTGTTCACTTTCAAATTAATGGCCTCTCTTTTATTCATTGTTGTTACACACACACACACACACACACACACACAGGGTTTCCCTAAATACAACCTGCTTAGTCTTTATAACAGAAATTTCTAAATACAACCTGCTTAGTCTTTGTAACAGAAAATACAACCAAGCAAATGTAGAGCTGTGGAGTCCATTACCAATGAATGCACCCACAAATCCCTCTTTCACCTAAGGCTTAGGGGCGGGACAGGGGCGCAAAGACTGTAAGAGCTAAAGGGTCAGGGAGTTCCTGTGAGTCCGTCTCTCACCAGTGTAAGAACCTATACCCATAAAGCCTCGCCAGCATGGCTGCCTAAACCAAACTGAACCAGGGCAACAATAGTAAACACGCCAAAGTGGACTTTGGAAAGGTCACAAGGCATCAACCCTGCCCTAAGAACAAAGGTCAAGTAAGGAGCACAGAGAGTGAGAGAATAGGGTGGGGGAGCACTCTGGGTGGTTATTCATCACTAAGCAGTCATCCCTGAACACACGCACACACATAGCATTATCTAGATTAGCTCTAGGGTACTTGCTTCTCTAACATTCTGTGATCCCTTGGCAACTGCTTGGCAGGCATGGGCAAAATCTCCACCCACCAGGGACACCTTAAACATCCACAAGGTGCCTTAACTCTGGTAGTCACCAGCCAGCCTCACTTCTTTGCCTCTTAAAGAACTTAATGGTGAAGTCCAGGTTCAGATACAGAACACTGTCATTAGCTGGTGACTGATTGCTGGCTCCATCTCTACAGTGTTCATTCTCCCTTGCCTGCCTTTGACTGAACTCCCTGAGGAGGCTTCTTTCTCCTAAACCATCACCACACATGGGCATGCTCACTCCAGGGAAACCCTGTGGGCTTTATTGCCCCCCAGAGCAGGAATTGCTTCAGCCTTTTGGGCCTACCCCAGGAGAAGGGCTACCAAATGTGAACACTTCTTGTTTTTGCTGACTCACGTCAGTGACAGACAGTGTGCCTTGCTAATGATGATAAATGTAAGGTGTTCTGCTGAAGAAATTGTGGGCTCTAAGATTAACTGTGTACTGACAGCCCATTCCTCTGCCCTGGTGATTCTCACATGGCGCTCATGCCAGTTGGCTTAAACAGGCCTTGAGAGAGTCATGTCTGCTGAAGAAACATAGCAGCCCTCAAGTCCATGTGATTGGTAAACTCAAATGATGAAAATGTCCCAACCCAGATAGAGAGGTAAGGCCAGTGTGGGTAGCTTTTGGGGAGCAGGCAGCTCCCCAACAGCACAGACAAGGGCATCCTCAAAGTACTTTAAAGCTACTCTTTTAGGTAGGGCTGAGATGGGCTGCTATGGTTTGAGCAGGAATGGCCTCCATAGGTTCATATATTTGAACATTTGGTCCGTAGTTGGTGGAACTGTTTGGAAAGGATTGGAGGTGTGGCCTTGTTGGAATAAGTGTGTTGCTGGGGGCAGGCTTTTAGGTTTCAAAAGACTAGCACCATTCCCAGTGTGCTCTCTGCCTCCTGCTTGAGGATGGAGATGTGAGCTCTCAGCTCTAACCCCCTGAAATTTGCATCTTAGTTAGAATCACTGTTGCTGTGAAGAGATACCATGGCCAAGGCAACTTGTAAAAGAATGCATTGACTTTGAGGGCCCACGCTTTCCAGATGTTAATGTCCAGTGACCATCATAGTGGGTAGCATGGCAACAGGCAGGCAGGCAGGATGCTGGTGTAGCAGCTCAGAGCTTATATTCTGATCTGCAAGTGGAAGGCAGAGAGACAATGCGGGATGCTTGAGCTCTGGAAGCCTCAAACCCCACTCCCCAATGATGTACTCCTTCCTATACCTCCTAATCCTCCCTAAACATTTCTACAAACTGGGGACCACGTGTTCAAACTTGATGAGGCTATGGGGGGGGGATTCTCATGCAAACCACCACAAATTCTAAGCCAGTCACATGCTTTCTTTCATAACTTGCCTTGGTCATGGTGTTTTGTGGCAGCAATAGAAAAGTAATGAAGACATGGGCCAAGGAAGAGCTTCATCGTCGGACACTCTCTGAAGGCCCTAGCCCTCACCACCAATCAGATCCACAACTCAGACAGGACTCCGCCTCCCTTGGGGTTTCCAGGTCCCTGTTCGGTAAAACAAGGTCAACCCTGGGTGGTCTGGGCCCTCCTAGAACTTTGTTCTCTGATTCTTTGGTCAGATAGGTTCAGATGTTTTCTCTCCAGCCTGGATCCCTGGTGGCCCAGGGGCTATGCTATGGGTATGAACTGACTCCCTTTGATGTCCTTCTCCGGGAATTCTCCACACAGGCTCTCCTCACCCACTGCCTCCTTTAAATTACTAATAAAGGCCTGAGGTGGAGCATAAGAACCGAATTAGTGTTTCCTCTCTCTCTCTCTCTCTCTCTCTCTCTCTCTCTCTCTCTCTCTCTCCCCTCTCATTTGGAAGAGGGCAGCTCACCTCAGTCACCACAGCTGAATCCCTCAGGGATGGGGGCCTCGTTCAAGCAGCAGAGCAGATTCCATTCTAGCTTCACAGGTTGCCTGTGGTAAGGGCTCTCTGGACCTCGGCCTTAAGGTCTTACCCATTCCCATGCAATGCTCACTCCTTTCTTTTCAGTCTCATCTACTGGGGAAACAATAGTAATGGCTGCCATTTTTATTGCTTCTTCTTTTGAAGGTCGCTAGTTATAGTCCTTGCTGTAAAAATAAATGCCCAAGTAAAGCAACTTGAAGGGAGGAGTTATGTACTTTGGGGTTAAGAAGTTTTAGTTCACAGTCTTGCTGGGCCTGTGGCAGGGCAGGGCATCATGGTGTAACCAGGAAGTATCTGACAGAGGCATCTCAACTCAGGCCAGACAGGAAACAGAAAACAAGCACAGGAAGGAATTAAACTACGTAGTTCCCAAGGATATGCCTCTTCCCCAGAGATCTTCATCCCCCCCCCCACCCCCCCCCCCGTCCCTGAATCCTGAGCTGGGCACAGAGGGCATCTCAACTCATTGTCCCTAACCAAATGGAACGATCTTCACCCCCCCCCCCACCCCCACATGGGCGTGCCTGCAGCTTGCATTTCCATCATATTTAAATCCCTTGAGGGCTTAACGTGTTTATTGTATTGGAGGCCCCAGGATCCAATAATTTCCCCAAAGCCTATCAACTAGCAAAAGAGCTCCCAGTATATTAGCCCTTTGGGGCATTTCCCACAAACACACCCCCAGCATAGCATCCAGTTTGGGGCATTTCCCACAAAAACCCACCCCTGTACATCAACCTGTTGGGGCATTTTGAGTTCATGTTATAACATATTGTAATTTTTATAATAGCCACCAGAAGAAGTTTCTGTTTCCTCCATTTATAGATGGGAAACTTGGACTTCTAGCATTCAATGTCTTGTCAAGGTCACACTGTACTTCAGTGGTAGAGCTGGCTGTGAATTGTGTTTTCCGACTGCAGAGTCCACATGCTAATCACCGCACGACTGACTGCCAGTGCCAAAGACCTCAAGGGAATTTTAGCTATCTGATTGATGAACAGTGAGGAGTGCCGGGTTGATGGGCAGTGCAAAGGTGTTTGCCCTTGGCCCATGGCAGTCATACATGTGAACTGCATGTAGATCAGCTTCAGCTAAGAGAGAAAGGAAGGCAGGAACTGCAGGCCCCTCTCCTTCAGTGGATCGTGATACAGACAAAGGGTCCTTTTTATGGACACAGCCATCATAGTAACCGCCACTTATCATTACAACAAAGGTGGGCGTGGAAACTGGAGCCGGAGTGAAGTGACATCACCCTAGCCTTAACCAAATATCAAGTTGGAAGCTGTAGTGAAATCACTTTAAAAGTCTACCCAGAGATGGTGTCCTACAGCTGTGCAGGGGGCTTCTGGTGGTGTCTGGAGTGTTTCTGTATGAAGTGCTCACATGGTGGCATGGGTTGCCCATATGGAAGCAACCCAGCAGCCCCAGGAGAATGGAAGGCTATGGGAGGCTGTCCCGGACACTTGTGATGTGTTGACACAGACACTGGGGTGGATGGTACCGCTCTCTCTCTATCTCTCTCGCTGTTTCTCAAATGTCTGTGATGCTTTTTCCATGTGGGTATGTGATATGCAGTGTTTTAATAGCTACCATTTTGCTTGATTCAGCTATTGGACGTAATACGTGCTTTGGAGAGAAAACCCCTGATGCCCTTTGATGGCTTGGAACAATAGGAGTTCTGGCTGGCATCCCTCGGGCCTCTCATCTGCTTTAGGGCTGCTTTTGTGTGTGTGTTTAGCTATGCTCTTTGGGAACCTAGGGAAGCAGGGATGGGGGCGGGGCAGAGTTTCAACTAACATCCCCTTTTTCTTCCTTAGGCAAAAGAAGGGCAATGTGGCTCACAAACACTGGGCTGGACCTTCAAATCTGGTTAAGTGCAAGCCCTGCCCCGTGGCACAGTCAGCGATGGTCTGCGGATCTGATGGCCACACGTACACGTCCAAGGTTGGTCTTTATTGTTGTCCTTATCATAAACACCACTGCAAGTCTGTTTGTCATGTCTTTGCTTGGAGCAGCCTGGCTGTTCTGGGAAGGCAGACTCAGAGATAACTTCTGGCCAAGGAGGCAAAACAAAGAGTCAGTTGAGACTTTAGCTGAGAGGGAAAACAGGAGTCCAATGTTCATAATGCAACCTGGATATGTCCAAGTTGGATGGATAGAGACATTTAAGTTACCAGTCACCCGATCCTGGGCCAAGTTGCTTAGCTACACACCTCTCCTGGGGTAATGGCAGAGAGCCAGATGTCAGTTGTTCTTGTTTTATGGAAATACAACCTCGTGCCATTCAGATCACGCTCTCTGGCTATGAGTGAGCTGTCTTCTCCTCTAGCCTCAGATAGGTGAATAGCCATGAGCCACCAGTGAGAGACTAGAACTCATTGGACAAAAGCTCTGTTGTTATCAATCCCTGGTCACAATTTCCCCTCTGGACTCTGCATTTCATACACAGAAGGAAATTAAAATGCAGCTGTCAAGACCCCTGAGCTGCAGGCCAACAGTGACCTGTCTAATGCGCTGGCCAAAAGCGCGGTCATTTGCCCAAAGACTGTCTTGCTGACTTGAGGCTTCCTGTGGTCCTGGAGGATGGCCTCTGTGTGGAGCAGGTGCTGCTCTCAGGTGCAGGTGGAAAACTTGGTTAGAAGGCAGAGTTTGTGTTGGGAAGATCCTGTTACAGTGCTCCTCACCTTTCAGAGAACTGGCCTCGACACGAGTAGAGCAAAGCACCCAGCAGCCTTTGCCATCCCCAGCTCCACTCTGGGCCTGGCAGGAGGCTCCCTTCAACTCCTGAATAAGTAGGATGAGTCCGTGTCTCCCAGCCTCGCTCACTTATTTTCCTGAAGCAAAAGAAGATGGAAGATGGCTCATCAGAAATTGTTGCTAGTACATAATGTGTTATTCTCCTGTTGCTGTCATTAGATGCCTGAGACAATCACCTTTTAGAGAAGAAGCTGGTTTTGGCTGGTGGCCTCAGAGGTCTCATTCCGTCATTATTTGGCTCCATTATGTTGGGCTTGTTCAAGCATAGTGCAGCATTGAGGAGACATGCCATGTGACAGAAGAATTCCATTCGCCTTCGGGTAGCCATGAAAAAAAGAAAAAAGTAGAAGGGACCTGAAACCCCAATGTGAGACACTCCCCCCACGGGTATACTCTCATTGATCTAACTTCTTCACCTGAGCTCTACTTCTCAAAGGTCCCACTGTCTCCAGTACTGTCACAGACTGGGCAGGGGGGGAGGGAGGAGCCTTCAACATTTAGGTTATTGGGGATTCTAGATCCAAGCTACAGGATATGTTACAGTAAGGTTGGTTCCATGCCTGCCCAGGGTAAGTGGGGCCTTCTGGAACTTGTAGAGGAGGCAATACTCAGGAATGGCGTTCTACAGCAGGCGTTTCCAAACATTTCAATCCCAGAGGGACCAGTTATAGGCCTGACCCCCAGATCCTAAGATCAACACATGAGGCTGCAGCCTCGGGACAAAGCCAACCCTGCAGCTCACTGCAGCCAACACTGTGGCTCACTGCCTCCAACCCTGCAGCTCACTGCAGCCAACACTGTGGCTCACTACAGAGTGTGAAGTTGGCTTTGTCCCTTCTGGGTAGTTAGTGTCAGGCAACTTTCTTAGCTGTCTTTTCTACTATATTCTTCTGTCCAGAAAAACTTAAGTTCAACTTTTACTGAATTCTTTCATCCTCCATGGTAAACATTGTGTTGAACAGTAGAGTCCTTTGCAAAGGCCAAAAGAGATGCTGCTCTGTTTGCATGTAACTTGTAAGGAAGACAGACACAGTGACAAGCAGTCTGCTTGGATTATAGCAGGCGGTTTACGCCGTAGGAGTTTATGTGCTGGGAGATTGACCTCTAGTGTGGCAGTGAAGGCGAGGATGTAATGAGTTCACTAGACCCAAGATAGATGATAAATGGGTGTTTACTGGGGAACAATCACACAGAAAAATACAAAGAACCGAGGGAGTGTTTCTCTGCTCTTCCTACCAGATCGGCTGACACACCAGAAAGACTGAGGGAAGGAAAGCCATGCCTTAAGCTTCCCTCCTTCTGTCTGCCTGAAGCCACACCCAAAGAGGTTGGCCACCATTACAGGTTCACAGACCAGATGCCTACATGGCAGTGTTGAAGTTGTTGGTACCCTTAAGAGCCAGGTGTCATAAAGGTAATTAGGTTATTGGGTATACTGTTCTAGAGTGGGATTAATGGTAGTTCTCCCAAGAATGAGTAAGACCCGACCTCACCTTGGGCCCTGGGCTCCTGTGTTGGAATATTTTATCATCTTGCGTATGTACCCACTGTGATGCCATCACCGTGACCATTATAGTGCATCTGGTAGCCAAGGGATCTGTTAAGCTGAACTAACTTCATTTCTTCATACATTACTCAGCCTTAGGCATTTTGTCAGAGCAGCAGTTGGGTTAATTGTTTAATTAAGGGACATGGAAGGAATGGGGTGAGCACTGAGCTTGGTCAGCCCCACCAGTTTGGAGGACTAGGCAGTCATCTTAGAGAAAGTGATGGCCCTAGCAAGATGTTTATGGCTGGAAAGAATCAGACATTGAAAGGAACAGAATCCAAATAGTTTGTTCAGCAAAGAGGATGATGGATGGAAGAAAGCACGGTATGCGGAGAGACTCATCCAGTGTTACTGTGGCCGGGTCCCTCCTTGCTGTTCCACGTGGGCTTTCTAAAGGCGTAGGGGATGTTTTCTTCCACAGCAACTGTTAGTGCTGTGCCTCTCTTGCATCTAGATATAAGTGAGCCACTGCTGATTATAGAGAAAAAAAACAGTACCATTTAGTAGTTTGAAGACCACAGGAAGGACTTTGGACTTTATCTTGTAAGGTCTGGGGGACCCAGTTAAAGAGTGCCTTCCTGTAGGGTAGGAATGTGTGGGATAGGACCAGATGCTGGTGACCAATGGACCTACTGGTGGCATTCAAGAGTGGCACAATGGTTTTTGACATGTAAAGGAAACAATCTAAAGCAGCCCCAGGGAGTTAGCCTGGTCTTGGCAACTGATCAATTTGAACATATAAAGTCATCTCCGCTATAAGCTCAGCATAAGGATACCTGTGGCTTCATCCTAGCTGAGCTGGTGGCTCTCCTGTCAACAGTGTCTTGGCTGTGCCTGCAATGTATGGAGCCCATCATTTGCAAACCCCTTTTCTTGCTGTTGCTTTCTGCACAGCTGGTCGGAAGCTTATCTGATGGGATGGGGTCCAGACTGCGGGGAAGTCTGTGGCCGCCTTCCATTTGGGTGGCCTGCTACTCTACTTCTAGAAGGCAAAGCTTTTTTAGAATTGGCAGCTGATCCTAAGTGGTGCTTAGGTCTTGGAAGCTCAGAGAGGGGCCCACAGGAGGGCTCAGCTGGAAAATGATATCCAATGTGGCTTCCCATGCAGAGACGCGATATCCACAGCCGTGGTGATGTCTTTCTTGCACAAATCAAGCCTGTCTGGGGGTCAGAGAATGAAGCTTGCCACTAGCTAACCATAGAGGTCTGGAGGTATGTACAGACAGACAGGAAGTGACGTAGCTGGGCAGAAACAGGATACAAGCAGGGAGAAACAGGAAATTGCTATCATCTGCTGAGAGGCTAAGGGAGTACTGTGTGCTGTGTGGTTTGCTCTTTCTTTCTCATCTCTCAGCATTTCCTTCTATATCTGACTCCGGCCTTTTATTATCTAGACCAGTTAAGAGCTCCCTTTTTTGTTTGTTTGTTTTTGTTTTTGTTTTTGTTTTTTCGAGACAGGGTTTCTCTGTGGCTTTGGAGGCTGTCCTGGAACTAGTTCTCGTAGACCAGGCTGGTCTCGAACTCACAGAGATCCGCCTGCCTCTGCCTCCCGAGTGCTGGGAAATAAAGGCGTGTGCCACCAACTCCCAGCTCAGTTAAGAGCTCCTTTTACACACAACTTTTCCCCAGACACAGTACATGATGTCCAGGAGAGAAGCCCAGGATAGTACATAAAACCTAGGGCTCCTCACACAGATAACATAATATCCAGGACACCTGGGCCAATTTGGCCCTGCCCCTGGAGGGAGATTCACTGGCAGGATTTCTACCTGGGGACTTCACTAGCCACATTGGCAGAAGCTCTGATGTCCACAACTGCTCTTTTCCCAGCCAGGACCTGCTATGGCCTCTGAAAAGACGGGTCTCTGTGTGGCATAGGTTTCTGAAGAGATAGCGTTGTTCTTGGCACCTGCCTGCTGATAATTGGAAAACAAGCAAGGAAATAACCCATCTGCTCTCACCCCTCCCCCACACCTTTTTCTTAAAAGCTGCTAAACAATTAGCAAATGGCTCATTTGTGTCTAGATGCAAAAGAGAGATGCAGAGTTAAGAAGTGCTGTGGAAGAAAATTTGTTCTTTTGGTTCTGAAAGTGCACAAGTGAGGGAGGGAGGAAGCGCTTGCTTTACAGGACTGGCATTTCTTCCAGCACAATGTCGCCACAGATTATATTATCTCTGCTGAGGCATCTTAATAGTTTCTAACAATCGCTACCAAGTAAAGGTCGTGTTTGAAGTTCTTGGCAACTGTAGTCCCTGTTGGCCAGATTTTCCAAGAACAGGAAACTCAGAGGACTGGAGCTGGTTTGGGGTGTAGGCTTGTGAGAACCCTGCAGCTGGCTGTAGGCGCTGTTTTCAGCTTCTAGGATGTCTGACCTGTGGGTATTCCCGCCATGAAAGCATTGTTGCTCGGCTTTGCTTGTCTTCAGTTGAGGCTGGCAGGAGGGGTAGGCCTGTTCCCTGCAGACCTGTGGCCTGTGAATAGTCTTCACTTGCAAATGGCTCCGGGGAGAGAGCCTTGCTGTTGATGAAGAAGAAAATGAAACAGTTGGGAACGGCAGGGCAGGTAGGATGCATGGCTTTGGGCAGGCTGCGCCTCAGGAGCCTGGTGCACTATGGCAACAGTGAAGGCAGGAAAAGG